TTATACATTTTGTACATAGAGCCATGGAAAAAATTTAGAGACCACATTATATTTTCAAGAAAATCTGCATTTTTTTTTTTCCTGGTTTATCCGTGGTTCTGCTGGCAGAAGGCTACGCTGAGCATCAGGATGCTTCCAGGTTCAAAATTTGTAAGACAGCAGTACACAAAATTAAGGTGAAGCAGGAGACACAGGGACCAACCATAAACCAGACAGGTAAAGGGCAGAAGCGACTTTCTAATGCTAGAGATGACTATTAACTTATCTCACAGTTTCTCATGAATCACAGGATGACATCATGTGACCATAAAATTGAATGGGAAACATTAAATGCAGGTGTGAAGTGCACTGCTACGATGGGTCAGATCAGGTTCCTAGAAGCAGGACTGAAATTCCCATAGAGCAAGGAAGGAGCCCTTCATTAATGAGAAACAGAGAAGAACCAGGCTACAGTTTGCAAATAAAATACACTATATTGCCAAAAGTATTGGGGCACCCCTCCAAATCATTCAGTATCCCACGGTCAACTGTTAGTGGTATTATGACAACGTGAAAGTAATTGGTAGGCCACGTGACATCACAGAGCGGGGACAACGCATGCTGAGGTGCACAGTGTGCAGAAGTCTCCAACTGTCTGCAGAGTCAATAGCTACAGACCTCCAAACTTTGTGTGGTGTTCAAATTAGCTCAAGAACAGTGCATAGAGAACTTCATGGAATGGGTTTCCATGGCCGAGCAACTGCATCCAAGCCTTACATCACCAAGTGCAATGTAAAGCGTCAGATGCAGTGGTGTTAAGTATGCCGTCACTGGACTCTAGAGCAGTGGAGAGGTGTTCTCTGGAGTGACAAATCACACTTCTCTGTCTGGCAATCCGACGGACGAGTCTGGGTTTGGCGGTTGCCAGGAGAACGGTACTTGCCTGACTGCATTGTGCCAAGTGTACATTTTGGTGGAGGGGGGATTATGGTGTGGGTTGTTTTTCAGGGGTTAGGCTTGGCCACTTAGTTCCAGTGAAAGGAACTCTTAATGCTGCAGCACTTAAAGCCATATTGGACAATTTCACGCTCCCAACTTTGTGGGAACAGTTTGGGGATGGCCCCTTCCTGTTCCAACATGACTGTGCACCAGTGCACAAAGCAAGGTCCATAAGGACATGGATGAGTGAGTCTGGTGTGGAGGAACTTGACTGGCCTGTACAGAGCCCTGACCTCAACCCGACAGAACACCTTGGGGATGAATGCGAGCCAGGCCTTCTCGTCCAACATCAGTGTCTGACCTCACAAATGCTCTCCTGGAAGAATGGTCAAAAATTCCCATAAATACACTCATAAACCTTGTGGACAGCCTTCCCAGAAGAGTTGAAGCTGTTATACCTGCAAAGGGTGGGCCAACCTCATATTAAAGCCTATGTATTAAGATATTAAGAATGGGATGTCATTAAAGTTCATGTGTGTGTAAAGGCAAGTGTCCCAATACTTTTGGCAATATAGTGTGTGTACTGTATGTATATATATTATTCACAGATACAGACCCATAGATTGAGAAATGAGTGAAACAAAAAATTGTCCTGTGGTCGATCTCAATTTTTTCCATGGCTGTGTATATTCACTTCGACTCTATGTAACCATTTAGTGTGACGATGATATTAGAAACCTTTTCTGGAATTCTCTTAAGTGTAATGAAGTAGCAGAATGAGCAGGCAAATATAAATCAAATGTAACTTTTTCAAACTATAGTTTCTGTAGCATTATTGGATTCATACTGTATGTTAACCATATGAATTTTTATTCTTAGGTCGACAAATTATATTCACTGCATTTTCCCACAATCTACATCAAATCAAGTGTTCAAAGTTTCAGGTAGTGTGTGTGTCTGTGTGAATGTTGTGCATATGCTAAATACATATACACACACTACCAGTCACATTTTTTTGCACACACTGAGATTTTCTACATTTGCATGCTACTCACTTAACATTTACTAAAAATACACTCAATGGGCCTCATTCACCAATATTTTGTTAAGGTAAATGCAAACACACACATGTTATTTAGTAGCGTAACCAGTGGATATAAAGCCCCCAAGAAAGCTGATATATGGAGAGATATCACCTTCTCTGTGAATGCTGTGTGCCAAATAAATCTAAATGATCTTCAAACATGCGTTCCCTTCTCAGAGCAGGATTGGCAAGCTGTTCAAGAAGTAACAAATGGCATTTTGATGGCAAGGTCAATGTGCAGAAACAGACCAATTTATAATCATGATCGCCGTTATTACCATGAAAATAATTTTTACATAAAATTAAATTATTTTTCATATTTTACTTTTATAAATTATTCAAATACTATCATTTTATGAACTGTAGAATGAACAAAACTGCTATAACCGATTATTTTGAACAAACTATCATTAAATGTGCGTATGAATGGTCTTGAGTGTGCATAGATTCTGAGTGTGCTAAAAACAAATTCAGATAAGAAAAAATTGGTGAATGTCAGAATCTTCGTAAAAAGGTGCGTACGTGGGGTTTAAAAAACAAATTTGTTTGTAAGAACGGTTGGTGAATGAGGCCCAATACTCTTTGATAGCAATGACATTTACAGTATGTTCACAATTTAAGTACCTTTATTACCATGAAAATATATCTTTAATTTATCAAAGTAACCTCCTCTAGTATAACAGCAGGGAAAATTCAAGGCATTCTTTCTACAAGGGACATTAAATACTGCTGTTTCATGGAATGCCATCACACACAACCGGTTAATAGGATGTCAGACATGCACTGTTACATACTCTTTCCTTGTCATAAAGGAAACTTGTTTTGTTTGACTTATCTTTTCATTTATTGTTGTTCACTCAACTTTGCAATGCTTAACAAGAATAAAAATCTGCAGTTTATGAATTAAATGGAAAAGTGGTAAAATCTGTGGTGTACAAACACTTACAGTATGACTGGTAGTATTGCATACCAGACAGAGCTAGGCAGTGTATAATAACCAAGCCGTTATAATGTGTAACTGTCATATTTAAGACTGTATACACCAGAATACAGATTGTTAAAAACCTTGCCCATTGATGAATTTCATAATGTTTTTTGATTATTTATCTTCCTAGAAGACAGAGAAAGCACTCTGCACCCACCCATTGGCTATTTTACAAACAAACAATGCTGGCACGATCATACAGGGGACTCACCCGTAAAGGGATAGCGCTTCAGGACGGACTTGTTCTCTCACTCTGTCTTGCTGGTCTGGTTCAGCCACCTCTCTCTGTCTTTCCAGAAACGACTCAATAGTAACACACATGGATCTCGTCTTCAGAGACAGCAAAGAGGCAGTGGTCAGTGAAGCAGCCGTCCCCAGGCTTCTGCTGATGGCCTTGGCCAACAACACTGTTAATCTTAGCGTCATCCCGGATTCTGTACAGACGATGGGTAATAATGACATGGGAGGAGATGGACAAAAACACATCAAAATGCATTTTGATACAAAATACAGTGTTTCAAAATAAACTACAAAATACAGCCACCAAGCAACGTATCAAATTAAATTACAGCATTTTGTATTTTAAAAATGCAAAAATACATTTCACATACTTCTATTCTCATATAGCAGCTGGCTCCTTCATAAGCATACTGACTCAAATGGCCAAGCATAAGAGCAACATTTTTTCATGGCTTAACGAGACACAATACAAATATGAAACCAAACAAAAGATAAAGTATTCTGAAGTGTCTTAAATATATCCCAAATATTCACATGAACATAATGGAAAGTGAACTAAATGAAAAAGTAATAATAACAAACTCAGAAAGAATTCCTTTTTTGTAATTTAATTGACAAAACTGCTTCATTTTTTGCACCACAGACTACAGATGCAAATAAACCAAAACAACAAAATTTAAAATTAAAAATTATAAACGAATTTTAAATGCTTCATTCACCACCATCTTAAAAACTTCAAACACAAATAGTCTGAAAGGAGCTTGTAAGTCTTTCAATTGAACACAAGAGAATAACTATTGTCTCTAATGACCATTCATTAAAATGACTGAAAAAACTAAACTTCCTCCATGTGTATGCACAAACGTTTTGTACACATAACATTGTCATCCATACATTATGGAGAAATTATTTAGTGTATTTTCAAAATACAAAATACCGAATACTAAAATATTTTGATATACATTACATAATAATTTTTAATGAAGTCAAATACAAAATAAAATTTTGTATTTAAAATATGTATTTTAATACATGTTTTCGAAATACTGCCCATCCCTGGAGATGGGCCTGCATCCATATCAAAAGAAGTGTTGAAATAGGCTTGGAACTAGTCAGAATATATTCTGCTTAATCAACAGTTCATATAAAGTTAGTGTTATTTAATATTTGTGTGCTTCACTTGGATTTGTATAAATATCAGATAACACTTTCTACATATTAAAAATTCAGACACCAATATGTTAAGTAATTTTTAAAAGTAATTTTTGACCTGTACAAATTTGTGAATATGCTTAACTTGTACACTTTCGTATTCTGACAGAGAAGATCTCAGTTTCCCTCTGCCTCATTCTCTCCTATACATCTGTCTTGGATACAAAATCCTCATCATACAAATGGATTAGCACTAAACTATACAAATGGGTGAGTGTTGTAGTGAATAGTGCTACCTTTTTATATCTGATTCAGCTCCATTAGCTTTTTCACCCCTATCATCTATTAGCTCTGTGGTCTGTATCTCTTTGTGGGCTATTTTAAAAAAGATATCTGTTCTTAGCTGTCTGCGGTCTTTTATTTTCCGTGAATGTGAATAAGCCATGATGAGGAGATTAATGTAATTTGATTGTATCTTTCCATGAACTAGCTTGAAGCGGTATTCTATGAACTGGTTATGACTCAGAGTATGCAGTCAAACATGACATTATGGTATGTATCTGCTTTGTTATTTTGTGCAAATGATCCTTTATAGAAAAAGAGTAGTGACCTTCAACACGTTGTGCCACATATATAATCAAATTTGCCTCTCTCTTAGGAATGAAGATGGATGGGTGGGTGTGCTTGTGGAATTTCATTACAACACAAGGTTTCTTATAAGCAGTGATGTTCTGACTGCTGCTGTCCTCAAATCCAGGAGCCCTTTTCTATATCTAAAGCACACGCTTTCAGTAAATGGTCAGTCTATAGACACACGTGTACAGAATCTGTAAACTGACGTATCACATCAGTATCACATACGCATACCTATAAATGCACATACACGCACCATTTATCATTTGGAAATCAACCCTTTGTAACCAAATCTCAAGAATTTACCATCAAAGATCATTTATATTCTGATGTAAATATAATCAAGTAAACCAAGCTTTATATTATCTTCAGATGTGGAGCATGATAATGAGTTTGTGGTGCAGGGAATTTCCACATTATGTTTGCACAGCTGTTACAGTATTGATGCTGATCACTTAGTGTCTGCGCAGGTGTGTAATTTTAAATGTTACTCTTATGTCTTATAGGGTTACTCTTATGGTTATAATGTTACTCTCATGGTTATATGGTTTCTGAATTAGTTACAGGAGTTCCTGTGTCGATGGCGTTCATCTTACACATGTGCTCATGTGTGGATACTATTCGCTTTGTGTAGGAGTTAGGATGTCAATTTTGCTCATCTGTTGATGCAGGTGTTGAGGCGCAGGTTGATTACTTCAACCTGTCTATGACGATAACCAGCCTAACTTTCACAGAGGATCTTTCTGAGCGAGGATCTGACCTCTTTCTTGTTTACAGCTCTTACATACGTGTATCTGTAAGTGAATTTCTATACACAAAATCACTACAAATGCAAATGAACAGCTCATGCACCTATCGTAAATTCAAATTAGAAAAAGAAGGTATCTATATCCCAACTTTGACATCCTTAATCCCTACCCAGCCCTAACCTTAACCATAAGTAAGCAAACAAAACTAAATTCATAACTGAGTTGTGCTCCTCCACCCCCACACACACAAAATGAAACAAAGATCATTCATGGCATAATTCTATTCCTCTGGCTTTTTCAGGTGAGAAAGCTCTATGAAGACATTGAAGGATTTATCGATATCTATGTTACCAACATGACGTAAGTGGTGTACAAACCATTTCCGCAGCAACACATGTGAAATATATGCTTTGCTTGCCACATAATTCAGCTCATGCAATACCAGAAATCAGACACTGCATTTAACACTACAACACGTGAAGTACATTGGCTGACATACTTTAATTTCAATTCAGTTTATTTTTATATAGTGCCTTTCACAACAGAGTTGATCCAAGGTGCTTTACTTGGATGTTTTGTGATACAACATCGTTAAGAGAGCATAATACAAAAATGGGAAAAACGAAACGCAAAGAAATGACAGAAATAGAGCCAGATGGTTTTTAAAGTCTTAAATAAAATAAGTCTATTTATTAGTGATGCACCAACTGGTATTAATTGTTAATCCTTCATTTGGAGGTATACCACAAAGGCTTTCTGTTTCCATGTCATTAACAATTAAAAATACAAAACTTTTCGAAATATCAAACTATACTACTTATTCACGTGTTTCTAAGTTTTGTAATATTTCTAGTGTATCATTAATTTCTATTTTATTTATGAAAACAAGGCTAGATCTCTAGTTTAATAAATGCAACATTCTACATTCAGACCTGGTAGTTGTTTTGTTGTCCATTTTCATTTTTTCTTTTGTTAGTACTTATTAACAAGAAATCAGTTTCATTTACAGTAATGAGAAAAAACAGGTTTTTCTTTTTAAATTTTCTTCCTGCTTTTGGAAGGATAACTTCAGCTTCCTTATAGGGTTCATAGATTAGTATCGAATGCAGTCTTATACAGATGAAACAGTTACATTTGAATAATTTATAATTATCGTTTAATTATATTAAAATATTTATAACATAAAATAATATATTAAATTATTAATGTAAATTATTTCTTTCTATCACCATTTTGCTGTTATCCAATATTCATGTATTTAAAGAGAGAAATGTTTGTGGACTGAAACATCACACATCAAAAAATTATTTAATCATTAATGTGAAATGTGTATTTAAAGTGATGTGTGTGTTTTAATTTGAATAATCATCTACCAGTTACTGAGAGATGTTGCAAGACATGTTGTTATCCACTGGTCCCTTATTTCCATGAACACATTCTCTGCACATTGGTCATACCAAAGAGAGGAACCAAACATAAGAGAGGAACCAAAAAAAAAGTATGGAGAAAAAAACTTCTGGGGGTCCAAGGTCAACTGGCATCCCAACCCCCCCCCCCCCCCCGGGCATACTAATGTTATTGAAAAAGAAGGAGTGTTTTTTCTTCACTAAACAACTTACTTTATCATTGTGGTAAGATACTTTAACAATTGAACATAAGTGAAATCATAGCCCCTGCCCTCTCAGATGTCATTTGCCACGATTGTCCTACAGCTGGGTTTTCGGCCCTGGGCATTAAATACGCTAAACTTTTGCCGTGCAAAGACGACAAATTTAGGTGACACCTGACATATGGAAACGAACTGCAATTTACAGATCTGACACAAGCTGCAGACAGCAGTTGAGACACAGCTCATGTAAGATGTGGTCCACATGTATAAAGGCTGCAGACATCTCCCAGACTTCTCTGCTTCAGGGAAGCTGGAAACTCAAGGGAGGGGCTGCAGCAGGATTAACCCATGTACACTGGAATGAAGTAAATACAGAAAAGTACACAGCAGTGCCTTTTTAAACTGTGCCTGAGGCTGTTGTTTTTTTGTGCATTATAAATGACATGGACTGTTACTCCACAACACGCTAGGTATGAGTTTTGGAAGCAAATAACAGTAAATTAGATCTCTTAGAACAGTTAGTCATAACAAATTACAATTATTTGAAATAATTTTACCCATACAAAAAATGCTGTGCATGTCATAGACCTGCTTTTTCCCCCCCCTTTCCCCCTCTCTGCAGCGCTGGGTCAGTAGCAGTAAAGATGGCTGTGGATTTTCAGAAGGGAAGAATTTCTTTGCCCTCAGTTTTACAGGTTCTCAAGTTGGGTTTGTCCCAGCTGGAGATGGACGGCCTCACGGTGGACCCAGACTCCTTGAACCTTGGTACTGAATATCTGCAGGGCGAATGTCACTAGTACAGTTAGCAGTGTAGCATTTTGCTAACACCTCTTCCATATTTCTGTAAACGTCCACCTCAGAGCACCCTACGTTAGCTCCTGCTGAAGAGATGCCATTACCAGGGTATGCCGATGCCCTTATTGTCATTTGTGGCCTGGCTGTCGTTCTTATTCCTGTAGTGACATATGTGGTAAGTATTAAGGAGGGTGATTGTCTGACCTCGTCCACTATTAAACACTAAATTTTAACATCAGCTACATAAATAATAGATCCAGACACCAAAAATTGAACAGATACTTAACCAGAAAACCTTTTCATCTAATCCTCTAATTCACCCATGATGTCTCCATCATTTGCTCCCACTCTTAAAGAATCTTTACTCATCTAACAAACCATGGTATTTACCAAAGACGCCCCATAACCCTAGTTCGTTATAAGCGCATAGAATGACAAAATACACGGATAAATGGAGAAATACATGAAAACAAAACTATTCTCCTACTCTTGTTTCAGGGTTTGAAGACTGCAGTGTGGAGAAGGTTAAAGGGGTCCCCTTTTAACTCTCAAACCTACACTGTGGCTGACACACCGAGTGGAGTCTCGACAAGCTACACTGGCGTAATTATATAAGCTAAATGATTTGTTGTGAAGGAGCTGCATGTGGGTGCACCAGCTAGCGTGATGTCACAGAAAATTCCACTTCAGTGGCAGTGGAGACATACAGCTTTGTGAATGAATATTCATTGTCTATGAAATCATACTTAAAATTTGAACATTAAAGTATTTTCTCTGTGAAGCAGAATGAAGTTTTAAAAGTTATTTAATTTGTGCACAATGTTACTGGTGAAAAGATCCGCACATATGATGATTCAAAAGTACTATGAGTTTATGGATTCTGTTTGGCACATCAAGATTTGAACAGTGCTCAGAAAGAAAACAGAATCCCCCAACACTGCCTAAACTGGTACAGATAAGTGTTGTTGTGCAGTGAGTATAACGCTCACGGAGTATACTTTCCTGACAGCTGGCCCTACCCATCCTTAGTGGGGTAGTCCTACCAGGGCCATCTGACCTCATTAAGAGTTGGCAGTCTTCATGGTGATGATAACACATCACTTATGTATATATACACACAACATAAATTCCCTATGAATATGTATAATTATAAAGAAAACTATTTAAAAAGACCAGTGAATCCAACATCAAACATGACATGTCTATACATTGCTTAGAACAAAGTGAACTATATATCCAAGTAACATTTATCAGTTTTGGTGGCTCTTATCTGTTATATGCTGCTTTCTCTTCAATAATTATGTAGCTTCTTTCCTGAGCTAAAGCCACAACCCAGTCCTGAAAACTGTTAGGTAACATTTATCTGGTTTTTAAAGTCTTAAAGTATTGCTATTTAGTAGTGATGCACCAACTGGTATTAATTTTTAATCCTTCATTTGGAGGTATACCACAAAGGCTTTCTGTTTCCATGTCATTAACAATTAAAAATACAGTAACTGTTAGAAATAATTTCATCAGTTAATATTAAACTATACTACTTATTCACGTGTTTCTAACTTTTGTAATATTTCTAGTGTATCATTAATTTCTATTTTATTTATGAATAGGCTAGATCTCTAGTTTAATGAATGCAACATTCTACATTCAGACCTGGTAGTTGTTTGGTTGCCCATTTTAATTTTTTCTTTTGTTAGTACTTATTAACAAGAAATCAGTTTCATTTACGGTAATGAGAAAAACAGGTTTTTCTTTTTAAATTTTCTTCCTGCTTTTGGAAGGATAACTTCAGCTTCCTTATAGGGTTCATAGATTAGTATCGAATGCAGTCT